CTCCTCAGATCTGCATATAGCACAAATACATGCTGACCAAAAAAACATGGAGGATCGAGCATCCATGCAGACCTTATCCCAGCTGTCACTAGGAAAGCAGGGTACACCCTAGAAAGGCTAACAGTCATCACAGGGCTAACACACAGAGACAAGCAGTCATGCTCTCATTCACACCTACGGCCAAATTAGACTCGCCAATTAACCTAACATGGGTGTCTTTAGACTGTGTGACAAAGCAGGAGTACCCAGAGAGATTCGACTCCGTGCCACCAACACAGACAATGTGTATTTGGTTGTTTCTGGGCTAGAACGCTCACAACAGACAAGATTAAAAACTTTCATCAGGAGCTTTAATTTGGTCCAGAATGTGTGATTATGAATACAGTATCTCACCTTGATAAATTCCCTTTCAGATGGATTATCTCGTCTTCTTTCTGCTGAATGAGGTTTTCAGACTCGGCCATCTGGATGTTTGTCTCCTCAATCTGTTGGCAGTATCTCTGATTTTCAGCCTGCAATCAGCGCAGCAAAGCACAGCCTTATTTCTTGCTCTTTGTGAATTATGTTTGTGAATATAACATTATGGTTACTTTAATTGACAATATACAGAATGGAACTGCAATTTGTATTCTCATTTATCAACCCCACACATGAAAATGCAGATCGAGCTGCGCAAGTTACACATGTGTTTTGTCACGCATCATCCTCCAGCGATGACTTTAGTGTGGTCAGTGTTAGACAGCAAAGAAGTTCCATTTCCACATGTAAAACCACTTCACTATGTGAATACTGTCAGCATGTTGACCACAACTAAAAATCTTCTTGCAAAATTAAACCAAAGCGAGTTTCAGGTGGCTTTTATGACGATGAATAACAGACAAAGAGCCTTCAAAATAAATGTGGGAAAAAAAGAACTATCTCAGGGAAGTTCTCTAAAATAATTAGAGATGTAAAATACAAAATGCTTCACATAAAGCAGTATTCAGAAGATGTTTTCTTTACATGAATTTCCCACTCAGGACCATAACCCGTTGGTTTTAATGGTCAAAAACCAACAGCAATTATTTTTAAGAGGAGTCTGTTTGTTGGTAGTTTGGCTCTTTAAATTTCTTCTTTAACGCAAGTGGAGGAGTTTAAGTATCTCGGGGTCTTGTTCACGAGTGATGGGAGAAGGGAGCGGGAGATCGACAGACGGATTGGTGCAG